CCCCCTCCCCGCCCCCCAATTTTCATTTTTTCCTTCCTCGGAGAGAAATCTCCCACCTAACCTGAATTGCGGCCCTCCACTTGGCTTTCCTTTGGCCTCCCCGACCTCAGGACGTTTGGCCTTCCCTTCCCCCTGCTCCCAGTGTTGTGGTTTCTGCCATTGGCCATGATTTCAGGGAGCTAGCTGAGGCCACAGCTGTGCCAATGGGGCTTCCCTGGTGCCGCGGCACCTATAAACCACGTGCCCAGCCTCTCCCCTTGGACACGTGAACACAGTGGCATTCAGTATTGGTAGCCTGGCATGATAGGTACTGCCCCATGAAGAGTGTACTATATATTTTCTTTACTATAGGCCATACTTATACAGACGTGTATATATATTTATATAAGATCTCCCTATCCTAGGATGCAATGTTGGAGGGAAAATAAAATTGGAGGCTCCCCCTAAAAAAAAAAACAAAAAAAAACCACTTCCCGTTGTGAGCCAAGAGAGTGACCCGAGAGCAGCCAGGAGCTTCCTGTCGGTAACCATGTTTTCAATAAATACTCTTTCATGTACAAACTGCGGTACCTATTAACAGCCGTGTCTCTGTACTTGCCGTCTGCCCAAGGGAGCTCTCACCTTCACAAGCCTTCATTTCATTGTGTCCGGGAGACTTGGAGAGCTCCAGCTGGAGCCCCCAGCCAGCTTCCAAGGGCCCGCCCCCCTTTTCAACCACTCCGCCCTCCCCGTGCGTGTGCATGCATGCACGCGCACACACACACACACACACACACACACACACACACACATGCTTCCACAGTTAAGGATGCTCACAGATTGTTGCACCAGGACAAAGTGTTTTCTGCCCAGGCTTGCTGGGCACAGCAGGGAAAGGCATACTGTATACCCCCGTGAACATATCCTCCCTCTTCTCCCTGCCAGGGACACAGCCAGGGAACAGCTCAAATTCTTGTGACTTACAAAGAAGACACGTTCTTCACCCTGTGTGTTGCCGGTGCTTAGTGCCCAGCCCTCCAGCTGGTGTTGGAGGCTGTTGCTCCAAAACTCAGCCTTGGTAGCTGGGAGGCCTGAATGAGGGTGGTGATGAAAATAGATCCTCTCTCTCCCCTCGAGAAGGGGGCGAGGACGAGCTCTTTCAAAAGGCATAGAAAGTGCATGCGGTGCAGGCCTTTAGAACTAACTACAGCCAAGACCTTGGGCAGTGATGGGTGCCACTGTGGGTGCTTGGAACCAGTGCCTGCGTGATGCCAGCTGGCGGTGGCTGGGAGTGGCAGCGGTTTGCAGAACGCGCTGCTCGCACCCAGGTCTTGAGCCTTCTTTTCAGAGGGGCCAGGGAAGTCACACACCGGGATCCACGTTTGCAGCCAGCGTTAAAAGAGAGCCGAGGAGGCACTGGGAAGGGAGGACAAAAAGTCCTAAACTGGACCTCAGTCTGCAACCCTAGCCTGCCCTGACCTCCTAAGGGTTCTTGCCTCTGCCTCTTCTCATCCATCCTGCAAGACGAGTGAGATCTGAACTCCTTAGCTGGCGTTTTTGAGACCACTGCAACCTGCCCCTTAGCTACTTTTCCAACCATAGCTTTGGTTAACTCTCCTTATAAGCAACTGGGCTAGAGCCAGGCTCCAGTCTTCCCCTCTCCTCCTATTTCCTGTGCCCAGGACATTCCCCACCCCTCCTACTCAACCTGTGGAAATTGAGGTAATTCTTCTTAGAAAGTTTCAGGCAGGGGAGATGCCTGGGTGGCTCAGTCGGCTGAGCTCTTGATTTCAGCTCGGGTCACGATCTCATGGTTTGTGGGTTCGAACTCCACCTCAGGAGGCACCTGACAGCACTGAGGCTGCTTGGGATTTCCCCTCTCTCTCTCTCAAAATAAACATAAAAAGAAAAAGTTTCAGGGGTGCCTGGGAGGCTCAATCCGTTAAGCATCTGACTGGATTTGGGCTAAGGTCATGATCTCGCACTTCGTGGGTTGGAGCCCTGCATCCGGTCCACACTGGCAGTGTGGAGCCTGCTTGGGATTCGTTCTCTGTCCCTCTCTCTGCCCCTCTGCAGGTTGTTCTC